AACACACATATTTATATATATATATATATATATATATACACACACACACACAAACACACATTATATATATATATATATATATATATATATATATATATATATAGAGAGAGAGAGAGAGAGAGAGAGAGAGAAGTTTATTCTAATGTATATAAAATTATAAATTCCTTTAAAAAGAGTTTTTAATACACATAATACTGTAAATGGATAGATGAAACAAAATGTTATTTATTTTTATGTTTGCATGTATTGTGTGTGTGTATGTATATATATATATATATATATATATATATATATATATATATTGTTTTTGATGGCTGCATAGTATAGTAGGATCAGTTGGGAACTGTCTGTGAGAAAAAGAGCACTATGACGAAATTCACTCTGACGGAAATTTGGAAATGGCATGCTGCACTGCTTGGCATCCACACTAGAAGCTCCAATATGAACATTTCAGGGTGTTTGGGTGTTAATCTGAGGACAGTACAGAGGATTTGGAAAGAGCAGGATGAGATATCCAATCAACATCATAGTGTTTGGAGTGATCACTAGTGATGGTGACGTTATGTCTCCATTCATTTTCCCCACAGGGCCTGAGACTCAACATGGAAACCTACATCAAGTGCCTTGAGGAGGTAGTGCTGGCCTGGGTCAAGAGGGTGGATGCTGGAAGACCCTATATATGACAACAGGACACTGCACCATGTCACACAAGCAGGAGAATCCAGGCATGGCTGTCTGGCAATTTCTGCGATCACTTCAGCACTTACATCTGGCGACATAACTCCCCAGATTGCAATCCCCTTGATTATTATGTAATGGGGTGCAGTTGAGCGAGAGACCAACAAAACTCCTTGTAACACCAAAGATAACTGAAGGCGAGGATTATGGCAGCATTCACCAACTTAAACAAGGAGACCATCCAGAATAGTTGCAGGAGATTCCGAAGTCATCTGGAGGTCATAGTTGAAGCTAATGTCGATTTTATTGAATAAATTTACTCTTTTGTATTTCAAGATATTTTTGTGTCATTTGCGTAAATATATCTGTTAAAATGAAATGTCAGTGTTATTTTCATTTTTGCATAATTTAGACGACAATTTGTTCATCGCACCCTCTGTGTGTGCATGTAAATATACACACACAGAGAAGGTGCGATGTATAAATTGTCGTCTAAATTACACAAAAATGAAAATAATATATATATGTTTAACATTCTTTTTATAAATACAAATATTTAAGTAAATGCTCTGTTTATAATAAACAGCATTAAACAACATTTACTGGCCTGAATGTCTGAGAAATTTTCATGAAAAATATTCGTCCTCCGACAGAATTCAGAGAACAAATATTTTCTATGAAAATTTCTCGGACATTCAGGCCGATAAATGTTGTTTAATACTGTTTATTATAAACAGAGCATTTACTTATATTTGTATCTATAAAAAAGAACGTATAAACTTAAAAATGTCTTAAAATAATTGTCGGACTTTGTCCATTTGATAATACACACACACACACACACACAGTGATTAAAAACTAACTCCCCATGTTAAAGTACTTACAATTTATTCATTAACTTCTTGTAGTCGCTCTTCAAGTTCTTTCAAAGTCTTGGTTTAGTACAGTATAGTATATACTATATTTAGTATAGTATATACTTGTATCTTTAACCAACCTCAAAGAAAAAAGTCATAGGGTGTTAAGTCAGGACTCCTGGCTAGTCACTCATACATAAAATAGGGATTTACTGTTCAATCACCCTGTAAACATAGGAGAGGATAAAGAACAAATAGGAAGAATTTATAAATTAAACATGTTAAGCTTAGAGCCTCATCATGTGGAGACACCGATTCTCATACAATCATCAAAATTAAGCAATGTCAATTCTGGTCAGCATCTAGATGGGTGATCAATTGGGAATACCAGATGCTGTAAACTCGGATAAGCATGTGGTGTAATGGATAATGGCTCGGAATTGTTAATCAGAGAGCCGAGTTCCAATTACAGTTAAATTCGTTATATTCACTTACGAGAAAATACTCTTGGGAAAGGTATGAACCCTCTTCTACTCCAGCTATGGGTTAATTAGTAATTTAATTTAATCATTAAAACAATTATTGTCTCAAAAAAAAAAAAAAAAAAAAAATGAATTATTCCAATCTAAAAATATTTTCTGGCTTTAAAAAACTTGCAAATGGCTAAGGTGTAAAAAAATAAATCAATCAATCTCTGGCCTCAATTAAGTGTGTAAAATCAATCAATAAAACTCGTTATTTATAAATATTCCCTATTTGTTCTTTATCCCATCATTCTGTCGAATTCTGATTTTGATCTGTATTTGAGATATATATATGTGTGTGTGTGTGTGTGTGTGTGTGTGTGTGTGTGTGTGTGTGTGTGTGTGTGTGTGTGTGTGTTAAGATTCTTAGAATAGTTCTGATAAGACAATTTGGATAAAAGAAGACAATTGAAAAATATATTTGTTAGTCATTGCTGATGCGTTTCATCAATCTGACTTTATCAAGGCAAGTTTAAAAGCGAAATGTTTTTTAGTTACATCAAATTCAATTATAAAGGGAACATTCCTGTAACGCCTCATTCTGGATGTTGGTAACCATATTTTTTTTATTTTTTTTTTACTAAGAATGTGTGTCCAGATCCAGCCCAGAATGTTTTTAATTTGCTCACAGAGTCAGTCTGATTCCAAAATGGTATAATATGTTGGGCTCTAGCCTCTAAGAGTAAAGTTGAAAAAGTGTGACACAGTGACACACTGACATTGGCATTTATTATATGGAAGAAGGAAATGAACTATTAAGAGTTGTGTCCCTTTAATTAAAAAAAGTGCGACACACTGACAATGACATTTATTATTATTGTGTGTGTGTGTGTGTATATATATCACTTCTACAGAGAGAAGTCACCAGACTGCGTTGTCGTTGCTATTTGTTTTAGTTTTCCATGTCAAAATTCTGAGAAATTTAACAATATGTCAACATAGAAAACTAAAAATGAATTTATTGAAAACTAAAAATGATATTATATATATATATATATTATATATATATATATATATATATATATATGTATGTATGTGTGTGTACATAATGTTTTCAATAAATTAATTTCATTTTTTGGCTTCAAAAAATTCACATTGGATGAAACTCATCGGCTAATAATACAGTTTTCCTATTGTCTTTTACCTTTATACATAGTCATTTTCTACAGGTTAACTGAGAAATTTTTCATATATATATATATATATATATATATATATGAATAAAGACAAAAGGAAAACTCTTAGCTGACATGTTTCATCCTCTGATGGCAAATGTAAGGATTTTTATTTTGCAACAAGTATTTATAAACAAAAATAAAAATGTTGTTAGTTTCACAAAATTTTTAAATTTAAGAAACGCTCATAAATATTCATCATGTTAACTAAAAAGTCTAGATAAATTATGGAGGATGCGAAGTAACAAAATTTAACGTCTAATAAACGAAAGTGAGTAAATGATGTTATTGATATTTTTTTTTTTCTTTTTATTCAATCAACACAAACTACTCCATTATGGGATAAACTTATGTATTATATATTTTAAATAAAAGGAAGTTATGAATTTAACCATTTTCTTTTAATTTTTTATAATCATGTAGATGGGCTTCGGAAAAGAGTAATTCTTTCAGAAATGGAAATATTTGAAAAAATTTGGGGTGCAGATTTATATTTTGTAGAGTTTCAATAGCAGCACTCTTGAAAATTTTCCTTCTAAGTAAATTACTTTCTCTTTTAATAAGTTTGGCATGTTTTAGATCAAAGTTGTGGTTGAATTTATTTCTATGTATGACTAATGCATTGTTATATACAAGATCCTTTATGCGTTCATAGATACATTTTTTTTAATTTCAGCAATTCCTCAATGTAATGTGAAGAACAGTTATAACACCTTATTTTATCTATAGCTTCCAAATTATTATTGTTCAGGGTATTTTTGGTTCTGGTCATATCCATAATAGTTTGGGATGTGGTTGTAAAGACTATTCACTTTTATCTCAATTTAATGTAATGTGAAGAACAGTTATGACACCTTATTTTATCTATAGCTGCTTCCAAATTATTATTGTTCAGGGTATTTTTGGTTCTGGTCATATCCATAATAGTTTGGGATGTGGTTGTAAAGACTATTCACTTTTATCTCAATTTAATGTAATGTGAAGAACAGTTATGACACCTTATTTTATCTATAGCTGCTTCCAAATTATTATTGTTCAGGGTATTTTTGGTTCTGGTCATATCCATAATAGTTTGGGATGTGGTTGTAAAGACTATTCAATTTTATCTCAATTTAATGTAATGTGAAGAACAGTTATAACACCTTATTTTATCTATAGCTGCTTCCAAATTATTATTGTTCAGGGTATTTTTGGTTCTGGTCATATCCATAATAGTTTGGGATGTGGTTGTAAAGACTATTCACTTTTATCTCAATTTAATGTAATGCGAAGAACAGTTATGACACCTTATTTTATCTATAGCTGCTTCCAAATTATTATTGTTCAGGGTATTTTTGGTTCTGGTCATATCCATAATAGTTTGGGATGTGGTTGTAAAGACTATTCACTTTTATCTCAATTTAATGTAATGTGAAGAACAGTTATGACACCTTATTTTATCTATAGCTGCTTCCAAATTATTATTGTTCAGGGTATTTTTGGTTCTGGTCATATCCATAATAGTTTGGGATGTGGTTGTAAATATTTTGATGTTATTTTGATTGAATAAATTATTTTGGATAGTAGCTGTTACAGAGTTAGTAAGTGGAATCATATGTTTGTTTTTATCCAGTTTGTTGCCATTGTTATCTTTCTTTGTAGTTGTATATTTTATATGCCTTTCTCTTAGCAAATGGGAATGAAATAATGAGGATATATATTCAATTTTTTGTATAGACCTAAAAGATTTTATAAGTATGAAAGTATGAAACAATTTCATTATTTACCTTGAAAAGGTAATCCAGAATTTCATTTCTCTGTTTCTCTGGATAGTTGACAAGAAGCTTTGATGTGGCCTGTTGAGAAAAAGGAAAAGTAAAAGTTACCAACCGATTGACAATAATAAAGACTATTCCCTTTTATGCCTAGTGAACACACAAACACATTTATACTTGCTATAAAAAAAAAAAAATCATATATTATAAATTGCCAAATATTTAAGAGTGCTATTCCAGTTCAAACCTTTACAACAAGGACATGTGATGCCACATCCACAGTGTCAAATCATTCTCATTTCCTCTGTATTTCAATGTAAGAAAGAAGTTCCACTCAGATAGCTTTTTTCCCCCCCTAAGAACTGTTGTTTTGTGGACCAGACACCCATGTGGATGCTTCCCCAAACACTACAATCAACCTCTTCAAATTAAAGGTCATTTGTCATCTATTGTCCTCATTCTTGTAATCTTCATTTCCTACAATCTCATCTTTCATTTATATCACACTTTATTCATCAAGACCATTTTATCAGTAACCCTCTACCTTAATAATGTTTTCTTTCTCTTATATTCTCTCACACTCAGTAACCTCTTGTGTCTTAGTGACTTTACTACCTTGCTTGGAACTAAATGATTAAGAAAATGACAAATATTCCAATAAGCTCCATTCATGAGTTCTGCCAATTCAGACCTTTACTTTGTGGATGAATCATGTTACTCCCACAGAGTTGTATCACCCAAATTTCCCCCATATTCCAAATGTAAGAAAGTGCCTTTTCCCAAGAACTGCAACTTTTGTGAAACAGACTCCTATGTGGATTCTTACCTGAACACTACATTCTTAACCCCTTCAAGTCAAGGGTTAATCGTTATCTATCCACCTAATCATCATAATCTTCAATTCGTATCAGCATTTATTTCATTTTTAATTAGAGCAGGAAAAAAAAAATCAGTAAAATGAATAGTAAATATTTAACTTGTATGCTTTCTCCTTTGTTTCTCCTCCTTTGGTTCATTCTCCCTTTTTTTTTTTTCTTTCTCCTTTTTATTTGTTTCTTTCTCGCTTCTTTTTCTTTCTCCTTTTTCTTTGTTTCATTCTTCCTTCTTTTTCTTTCTCCCTTCTTTTTTGTTTCTTTCTCCCTTTGTTTCATTCTCCCTTCTTTTTCTTTCTCCTTCTTTATTTCTTACTCACTTCTTTTTCTTTCTCCTCCTCCTTTTTTTTTGTTTCTTTTCCCTTCTTTTTCTTTCTCCGCCTCCTTTTTTTTTGTTTCTTTTCCCTTCTTTTTCTTTCTCCGCCTCCTTTTTTTTTTGTTTCTTTTCCCTTCTTTTTCTTTCTCCGCCTCCTTTTTTGTTTCTTTTCCCTTCTTTTTCTTTCTCCTCCTCCTTTTTTTGTTTCTTTTCCCTTCTTTTTCTTTCTCCTCCTCCTTTTTTTGTTTCTTTTCCCTTCTTTTTCTTTCTCCTCCTCCTTTTTTTGTTTCTTTTCCCTTCTTTTTCTTTCTCCTCCTCCTTTTTTTGTTTCTTTTCCCTTCTTTCTCCTCCTTTCTTTCTCCCTTTTCTTTTACACCTTTACCTTTTCTTTCTTACCTATTTTCCCTTTCCTCCTGTTTCTTTACTGTTCCACCCCTTCTTTTCTTCTACTCTTTCTTTCCTTTTGCACCTGTTTTTGCTTTTTTCCTTTTTTTCCCCCCCTTTTTTTTCCTCACACTTTCTTTCCCCATTTTCTTGCCTTTCTTTCTTATTAAAAGAAGATAAAGATATTTTTTGGTAAACCTAAATAATTATGAACTTTCGTTATGATTACCAATTAAGTTTTCTTCTCACAACATAAAATGTTTGAACATTTAAAAACAAACAAAACCTTTGAACCACACATTATGCTAACGGGACTTTGTAAGTAATTAAAACCTATTTTAAACTCCAATTCCCTCAAACTGGGCAGTCTATTTTCAGAAGAGATTAAATGTATCTAAGTTTAAATACAGACAAACTGGTCGGTGGTCAGTTGCTGTAAGGTTCATATTATTGGAATGACCCAATTTGGATGGCCAGACCTGAATAAGGTTTGTCTCATTTTCTGTTAGGTCACCTTTGTCATGTAGGTCAGCAGTAGCCAATGGACAGTGGGAGAGGTTTAATATTAGCTGGACATACAATAGCCATTAGCAGTAGCCAGACTTAATGCTAGTTCATAGATAGAAAGAACAGATCCCAATATAAGGGTCCAGCAATTGAAAAAGAAAGGAAGAAATTAATGGTTAAAGTGAAGAAAAGAAACAGGTAAGCAGATAGGGGGGAGAGAAAGTTTTTTTAGCAGTAGATAAATTGCTTTATATAGGTAGACATTTATATATGCTAACACTAAGGAAAAACCAATATTCAATTTCATGTGTGTGCGTGTATGTATATAATTTTTTCATCAACATCAGCTCCTAAAGGATTTATCAAAAATAAAAGCCATGAGGTTAGACTTAAAAAGAAATCAAAGGAAAAAAGAAAAAATAGGAAGAATATGATGAAAAAGAAAAAAATGAAAAGAAAAAAAAAAACAAAAGAAAAAGAATGAAGAAGGAAAAGATGAAAACAAGAAAAAAAAAGTGGTTGAGAAGAGAAGATGAAAAAAGATTATGAAAAGAGGGAATGAAAAAGTGAAAAGAAAATGTGAAAGATTAAAAAGGTGTAAAAAGAGAACAAGTGGAATAAAAAAAAAAAGTTAAGAGAAAAGGACAGTGAGAAAGAAAGGATTGAAGAATGCAGAAAGGAAAAAGTAAAAGGTTTTGAAGGAAAAATACAAATGATTTTCAAAGATAGAAGCAAGAAGAATGAAAACTGTAAAAAAAAAAAAAAAAAAAAAAAAAAAAGTCGAGAATCAATCAATGAAAGACATGAAAAAAAGAAGGAAAGAAATTTTTAGAAAAAACGAAATAAAAAAAAAAAAAAATGGAAGAATTGGAGACAAAAAGCAAAAGAAAGAAAAACAGCTAAAAAACAACTAAAAAGAATTAATGAAAAATAAAGAACGAATGAAATAATGAAGGAAAGAATGTATAAGAGTTTTCATTGGTTTCGTTTCCTATAGAAATCAATAGGCTTTTTCCATCAATACCAAATTCTGAGGAGGAAGGAGGAGAAACATAATAAAGAGGGAAAATCAGAGTGAAAGAGAGGGAAGTAGAGGTAGTAGTAATAGTAGTAGGGAAGATAGGAGAAGAGGGAAGAGGAAGCCCTAAAGAGTGAGAAGAAGCCTTCTCAGTTGTAGCAGCCTCTGCAGGGTGCCTGAAACATGCACCCAAGATGTAATAATGATCCTAGAATGACTCATACCTTGAGAGGATTTAATGATTGCCTGCCCCCACCACCACATTTACTTCTCTTCCTTCCTCTCTCTCATCTCCTATAAGTTTCTCTTCCTGTTTAAAAGAGAGTGGGATGAGAGGAGGAAAGAGAGAAAGCTCTCAATTTATTCAAGAAAAGATTGATACTTTGTTCTATGGTTATGTCAACTTGATGGTTAGAACCTTGGACTGGAGGATGGGAGATAACTTGGTGGTTAGAACAGCAGACCAAAGGATGAGAGATAATCCAGTGGTTAGAACAGCGGACTAGAGGATGAGAGATAACACAGTGGTTAGAACCTTGGACCAGAGGAGAACAGATAACCCAGTGGTTAGAACAACGGACAGGAGGAGAACAGATAACCCAGTGGTTAGAACAGCGGACAGGAGGAGAACAGATAACCCAGTGGTTAGAACAGCGGACAGGAGGAGGAGAGATAACCCAGTGGTTAGAACAGCGGACAGGAGGAGAACAGATAACCCAGTGGTTAGAACAGCGGACAGGAGGAGGAGAGATAACCCAGTGGTTAGAAACGGAGGAGAGATAACCCAGTGGTTAGAACAGGTATGACAGACTGATAACTACCATTGGTTAGAAACAGGTCCTTGACAACACACAGGAGGACAATAGCATTAGATATCTCAAAGATAACCCAGTGGCACAAAGTTTTAGAACAGCTAAGGAATCACTGGAAAGGTTTGCTCTATTATAAAATCCTTCCTAACAGGTAAATCCCTGAAGGTAGTTAATAACATCCAGTTCTCCGAAGCCCTGGTGGTCAATGCAGGCATCCTCCAAAGGTCACTTTTTGGACCAACCCTCTTTCTAATTTACTTAAATGATCTCCCTAAGAGTTAATTCCAATCATTTGTAAACGTCTATGCCAATGATACAATATACAAGTGCACCTCTAAAAATCTTGACAATCCAAGATTGGCAGCTGACCTCTCTTCCAATGTAACACTAACTTCCCAGTGGGAGAAAACTGGCTGGTTACATTCAATGCCTCTAAAACCAAACTACTTAGATTCCATGACCACCAATGAAACCCTAAACTACTGCTGGATGTCCCCTAGAGGCAGCACTGTGCTTTGACAGGATATTGGGCCTCAAACTCCCACCTGACCCCAAGTGGAATTCCCATATACAATCCATCACTAAAGATGCAGATAAAATGATCGGCTTCATGTACCACTCCAGTAAGTACCTGACTCCTCAAGCTATCTTCTATCTTTAGAAGAGGATTTATCTACCTTTATCATCAGGCTGGAAATGAAGTACTGTTGCCATATTTGGGCAGGAGTTGCCCAGACCTCACTTTCCAGTCTTGAAAGAGTTCAAAAGCATCTCAGAGTCCTTGTTGGAGAAGAATTATTTTCCATTTTCCAACCTCTCTCTCACAGGCAGTATGTAGTGAGTCTCTTACTGTTATATTGCTGCTACCATGGAAAGTGCTCGGACGAACTACATCAGGTTCCACCAGGCCTGACATTTATGGCTAGGACCAGCCATGCCATTTACATAGTAACAAACCACCCACATTCTCTCTGTATTCCATCAGCAAGAAGTAAGTTCCACTCAAATAGCCTCTTCCTGTGAACCACTGCCCTATGGAATAGATTCCCTAGACGATGATTCCCAGATCACTGCAATCTTAACCTGTTTAAGTCTAGAGTCAACCATTATCTGACCCTCCTATTCACATAAACTAACCACTAATGTAACCCTCTTCCATACTGTAAAAAAAAATTGATGGTTAGAACAGTGAACCCTCGATGGTTAGAACAGTGGACCAGACGAATTCATGGTTAGAACAGTGGACCAGGCGATGAGAGATA